CGGCTTGTTGATGCATGGCTCCAGTCTCTGCCTTTGCCTTTGTGTGGCCTTAATCTGTGTGTTCTGTGTCTCAGTTTTCTCTTCTTAAAAAGATACTAATCATAGGGTTAGGGCCCACCCAATATGGTATGATCTCATTTTAACTTGATTACATCTGCAAAGACCTTATTTCCAAATAAGATCCCGTTCACAGGTCCTGGGGGTTAGGATTTCAGCATATCTTTTGGGGAACACAACACAACCCGTAACAGTGACTAGGAATTGGAGAACTTCACCACTGAGCAGATGGTCTCAATTACAGTTTTAAGTTTCTAAGCTGTCTGCTTCTTTGGAAATGATATTTTCACGATTTTATTTAATCTTTTCTAGACATGTAGGGAATATAATATTCTGATTAATAAAATGCTTTTAATGTGTCGAATTTTAAAATATACAAAAATATGTCTAGAATAGAATAAATTTAGTATATACCTATCACAGTCCCTAACTAGTAATGTGTTCACTAAATGTTTATTGAATGAATGAATGAATCAATCAATCAGTGTTAATATTAAGCTTTATTGAGCATAATTTAATCTTCCTTTGATGATTCAAAATAATTCCTATAGGTAAAATGTAGCCAATACAAGTTATGAGATTACTACTTGCTTGAATGCTAAATGACAAGTGTTTATTCCATTCCACGTCTTTGTGTCCATTTGGAACTCACTGAAGTGTGTTTTATGTCTCATGTTGCAATGCATCTTCCATTTCTGTTGACTTCCTCTTTGGGTTATTAAATATTATTTCCTTTAGCTTAATTAAATTGCTTTTGTTGATCAGTTAACACCAATGTGTTTTGGTTTGGTTTCTTTACCTATAAACTTACTTACTTTAACAGGTACCAGGATTGTCTATCCTTCAGTCTATTTTTCTCTGTCTAGACATTCAATAAATGTATTTTGATTGTGGTGGTATTATTTGAGTTATGTTTCTTTACTAATGGTTACTTCCATTTTTCCTTTAATCCAATACAGAGAGAAGTAATCACCAAAACAAAAACCAAATTACAATATAACCCAGACCTTACAAACGAAAGCTCTTTCCTCAGTCTTAAAACTGCACATTATCTCTGCATGACCTCAGAATGCTTTCACAATGCAGTACATACAGTTAAAGAAATAAAATGTTTCATCAGAGAACAGACCGTAAGACAAGAATGCCTAAATTCAAACTGAAATTGATACTGGCTACTATTATCAAGCTGCTAATGTTTTCCATTTTACAGTCTTTTCTTCACAGTTATTCAAGTATTTGCTAATCAAACTTATCATTAAGGCCAAAAATTCCTCCTAAAAACATGAGTGAGAAATCAAAATATTTAAACCAACTAAAATGATTTTATTTTTCTTAAAAGAGAGGAAAATGAAGGAAAAAATTTTCATTATTTAATCACTTTTTTAATCCCTCATTTTCTCTGGAAGAGATTTATAGTGGTGGTTTTCAATCACCAGAAACCTGTATTTACAGTAAATCAGCAGGTATTCCTAGCTATTAGAATCAATGGGGCAGAGGAACAATGCAAAGCCAGAATTTGGAGACATTTTCCTGAGCACATTGAGAAGAGGTACCATTTCAGTCACTTACCTTCGGAGAATGTTCACATTTAATTACATTAGTGGCTCTTGACATTATAAAATGTTCTTTTCTTTCAAATATAATCTTGTATCATCATTAGTAAATGTCAAACATAATGAAGTGTTTTTCTGACTTCCTATTCTTCCAGATATCATGGGAGAGAATATGCTAATGAGTTTGTAATTCTGAGATTGTTTTCTGTGCTCAAAACCAATGCAGAACCAACTTGGTGTCTGTTTATTAGCTTAGTTTTACTCTTTTTTATTTTCTTTTACTTGGAAAGAGAATTTCCTTTTTATTTCTTACCACACTTCCTCTGTTTGGTGCAATTTCTTATTCTCCCTGAGAGTTTTTAGGTGATGACTACTTCCAATTACATTGTGTTTCTGGGGTCAAGTCAGAATGGTGTGGAAGGTCCTGCCCTTTGCTGTGACTTAAGTGCTATCTGAAAGCTTCTATTTTTTTTTTTCTTAGAAGCTTTTTTTTGTTCTCCTTTCTCTATTTTTAAATTTTGAGATCTAATGGCTATTCAACCCTGTGGTTTCCTGTAACATCTCAATCATAATATAACGGGACCTGGATTTCTGCTCTCTCAAAGACTAAATATACCTACAGTGTGAAATTGGTGTGTTTTATAACACTAGAACTAGTTTCTTTTATGTCAAAATAAAATTAACATCACATGAAAAGGGAAGGCATCACTGGAAGGGGTCAAGGAGAAAGAGATAATGCCATAGTTTTCCAACACAGTATTATTCAGTGTCTGTGTTGAAAACATGCTTGACAGGAAGGGTCTGGGTCACCTTTTAGCAGTGCCTCGGGTATAGTGGCTGTTTGCTCCTATTGAGAAATTATGGAAAAGCTATCTGTTGTACAGAGAAGGCAGCAGGAATGAGGTCCCCAATCTTTAAGAAGGTTGCTCAATCAATCCAAAAAGATATTTTACCAAGAGAAAAAGAAAACCATTTACAGCATTTCACAATAGGCCAAAAAAAAAAAAAAAAAAAAAGGTAATTTTATAGAAAATGTGTTCTGGAAAATATGAACCCAAGTCAAAAGTGGATAAGTTTTATAGAATGACTAGTTATAAGGGGTTCTGTTCCCCAGAGAGCTAAAATATATTACACAACCTCTGATTATACCTCGCTCTTTAAACATGGTACTTAGGAATTTGGTTCTCTAACTTTCTTCCTTATTTCACATTTGGATATACTGTTAATTGAATTAGATCCCACAAATATCCAAGAATATCCAAATAAGCTCAAGATTTGCTTCTCTCTGCCTAACAAATTTGTATATTTATCCCAATTATGTGCAACTTATGATATCCATATTTATGACTAACACCTACACTTTCAAATTTATAAAATACTAAGCAATGTATAATAAAATATTCAAATAGTTGACAGGTAAATTCTATTATAAGGGCATGAAACTATGCAGCATTACATTTCTATTATTATGCTTGAGATTCAACTCTTTTTATAAATTAATTAGCTATTTATGAGCCTATTAATAAAAAATTTTAAAAATTGGAATATTTAACATTTTTTAATGATTTCTAATACCATTTAATATATCAAAGATATTAACTTTTGGTCTCGCTGGTACCATGCAAATATAGTTCCCAGTTTATCATTTGTTTATATATCATTTCAATTTTATTTATAGCATTTTTTTCTATATTCAAGGAGTTGTCAAATGTTCATTTGGTGAAATATATGTTTTCCTTTTTGTTTTCTTCTGTTGGTGGTATGTTTTAAAAGCTCTTCACTGATTTTGCTGTATTTTTGCTATCATAGTCTGTTTTCATCTTACCTTGGAAACCTTATCTCTGTCATATTACCTAATGAATATCTTCCAATCAGGCCAGCCTTATCTCTGCTCCAAGAGTAGAATATAATCGTTGCTGGCTTCATGAAAAGTCACACCCTTAGCTAATTTTCAAGTTCCGTTTCACACCACCACGTTCTCTCAGAATCCTTCGCTGATTTCCTCAGCCTTCTTTGATCACCCTTCTCTGAACTTGCAGGAGCTAAATAGAATATAGCGCACAAATCAGGAGAAAATTGTAAGCAATCTTGAGTTTCCCACTCTTGGTCCAGGTGGAGTGTAAGCATCCAAGCAGGAGATACCTACGGGTGATGAACAGCCTATCCAACATGAGCCCAACCCAACAGTGAGATCCAGGAGATGTTAGCTTCATTTTGATGCTAAAGGAATCTATTCTTGTGCCACCCAACACATTAGCTTTCACTTAAAGACTTCTTAAGTCTTAGGGGGAGTTGGGATGCACTCTGTGTAGAAAGGAGGCATCTCTAGGAGAAGGGGAGCAAGACGATCCATGCTGAAGTCAGAAAGAAGATAACATTTCAGTCCAAAATGCTAAGCACCTAGAGTAACAGCAGAGAGAAGTCAGAGCCCAGTCTCCAGGGAAAGTGGTGAAGGGGGTTGTAAGTGACATCCCAGGTCCCGAGAAGACAAAGGGGCAAGAGCTGGTAGAATTTAGGAGTAATCTCTTGAGCTACACTATACAGTTCACATGACATATATGGGTTGTTTCAGTGACATAGCTGCCTCTGATCCCCAGATTTAACTGTTCCATGCCAGCTCTTTTGCAGTCCTGGAACCCCTGTATTTGTAAGCTGCTATCTCCCATCCTGTGTTAGCCTTGCCTCCCCAAATTTCGGGAACTACAGCCAGTACGTGCCGTTTACTGACCACTTTTTGCGTGCCAGGCTCTGTGTGCAGCACTTCACATGCACTATTTCATGTAACCCTAACAAGCGTGGTGCACCTTAGAGGTGGTCACTTCACGGAGGTTCAGTGGCTTGCCCACATTCCCCCAGCTAACTAAGGGGAGAGCAGGAATTCTAGATCTGTCTGACTCAAACTTCCACACAAAGAAGATATTTTTAATCTCATTTTACAGTTGAATAACTGATACTAAACTGCATGCCTTTAAAAACAGGGTCTTTTTCATAAACTTCTTTTTTCCCCCACAGTGTCTTGTTCATAGTAGGGAGACAATAAATACATAATGATGGAGCTAATGTACTCCTCTGGCTGTAAACTATACAAAAGCCACACCTTTTGATATGTATGATCTTTCTTTTTATTTTATTTTCTATAGTTAGATGCTACTTAATAAGAATGAAGCTATGTAGAAGGTACTTTGAACTAGATCTTTACGAAAAGAGAATTTTTCATAATAATGCAGAACTGCCATATGAAAACTATTAGGAAAAACAAGACTGAAAAATATGCGCAGCTGTACACTGCAAGTACAATTTAGACTCTTTATGGTGATTATTTCTGGAATAACCACTTCCCCTAAAATGTATTGCCTTATTTTTTGAGAGATGATTATTATTATCTTTTAGGACACAGCAGGCCAGGAAAGATACAGGACTATCACCACAGCTTATTATCGTGGGGCCATGGGCTTTATTTTAATGTATGACATCACAAATGAGGAATCCTTCAATGCGGTACAGGATTGGTAAGTAAGAACAAATGCTTTCATTACTACTGATTTTTTCATGCCACTCTCTCTTCCTCCTCACACTGCAATGTAATATGTGTGTTTATTAAATACTATGATCCCATTTGTGCTTTGTAAAGCAGACAAATGCTAGCTATGCTCAGAATTGCTATTTTGGAATTGATAAGAAATCATTTTGGTGCTTTTTCTACATTTTGTTCATTCCGGTGCTTTGCATCCTGTCATCATTAGCTCTGTGGAGACTAGCGCATTGCTTTTATTCTTTAAAATATAAATAATGAATGGTTTGGAAGTTTACTGATCTAAAATAGGGATCTGGGAACTATGAACCACAGGCTAAATCTGGCCTATGAGCCAAATCCGGCCCACCACTTGTTTTGTAAATAAAGTTTTGTTAGAAGACAGCCAGGCTCATTTACTGCTTTCATGCTACAACAGATTTAAGAAGTTGCAACCGAGACCATGTGGCCCACAAAGCCTAGAACATTTCTATCTGGCCCTTTACAGTAAAAGTTTGCTTACCCCTTGTATAGATTTGTTAAATAGTTTTCAGTTTTTCTGCAAACTGAAAAGTTTCAAAGGACTGGGATGAAGAAAAAGGTAAAACCAAAACCCTTTCTGACTCATGGCTGCGTGAAACCATCTGAAAACTCCTCTCTGTCCATGATGAGTGTGATTGGCAGTGGGGGGATTACTGCTGTGGCTGCAGCTTCCTTCAACCTGTTCCACCAGCACCTGGGGAGGAGACACTGAAGAGCCCTTGGTCATGGTCATGAATTCAAGCAGCAGGACTGAACTGGGCTGCTTTTCTGGGGAAAGAGCCAGAGTTTAGCTAGAGCTTTGTGTGGTCTTAGGAGGAAAACGGAGCTCCCATTGGTGGGACCAAGACTGAACAGACAGCCCATTTTAACTCCAAATACAGCTTGTCTTCTGTAAGGAAACTTTAGCAACACAAAAACGAAATAAACCACATTCATTTTTTTCCCTGTTTTACACGCTAGTAGTATCCAAAATGATTTTTTTTTTACATGTGTATCAGCTCAATGAAGGTCAGATGCTATTAAAAACTGAAATTTGCTTTAGATTTTTAAAAAATTTTAATTGTTCATCTGAGAAAATACCTACATCTTTCTTACTGACACACATTTGCAGTGCAAAAAATAATACCATTGACAATAGCAATGCAAAAGGGAAATCTATAGCAATAAACTGAAAAAGACAAGTTTAGGAACAATATGGAAAAATAATTATCTTCCACTGAGAGGCATAAAAGAAGGCTTAAATACCCTTCTTTTTAGTAGACTGAATATTGTAAAAATGCTGGTTCTTCTCAAATTAATTTATAAACTCAAGGCAATCCCAATTAAATACCAGCAGGTTTGGTATAAAATGAAATGAAATAGAGTCCAGATACAGACTCAAATCTATACAGGAATTTAGTTTATGACAAAAATATCATTTCAAATTAGTGACAAAAAAGTGTGCAATTAATAGTGTCGTGATATTTAGTTAATTGCCACGCATAGCTCTGGCACACATATTGACATACAAAATGGTCATTTTAACGTTGACCGTTTCCTCTCAGGAAATGGTGAGACGCAGTGCCCCCAGGCAGGCAGTTTTCATGAATCAAGCTCCAGACTTGAGAGTCCTTAATGCTCTTTGCACCTGTAGTTCTTGCCCTGTTGTTTCAGTGAAAGTTATATGACTACTGAGCATACATGGAAGGATAAATTGAGTTCATTAAACCCAAATGGCCACAATGCCAGGAACCATGCTATCAGTACCCCTGCCTCTTGCATCAGAAAGGATATGGAACAGTTCAGCTCCCTCATGCCTTCCTCCATGCCTTCCTTCTGTAAACCCCGTCAGTTCAGCTTCAAACCCACCAAAGCTTCCTCACCTGTCAACAGACCATCTGCCCTATCTCGGTCCTTCTCTTCCTTCAATTCTCTTTTTGACTCTATTTACCCACTCTTTCCTTTTGAGGCTCTGTTTCTTGTCTTCTGAGAGATGCATTTTCCAGATGTGTCTTGTCTCTCTCTAGGACTGCTCCTCTTCCTATTTCCTAGATTTCCCTCCCTCCTTTACCCTGCCAAGTGTAAGCATACCCCTGTGGGGTTTTCTCTTAGGCTTATTCTCAGTTTCCTTGGCCATCCTATCCACTTCATTTATCACTTATACCAGATGGCTTCCAAGTTCAAATTTCTGGCCCCAGTCTGTCTTCTAGACTGCAGTGTTGCATTTCTAGGTGCCCAGAACATTTCTCCACCTGGACATCCTGCTGACACCACAAAATCAATTATCTTTACTTGAAACTTCTCACCTTCTTGACATCATTACTTCTAGTCATTGAGACCCTAATGCTCTGTCACCAAGGGCTCACTCTGAGTCCAGCTCTAACCTCCAACCATCCCAATCTGGGGCCTGATCTGGCATAGTAATTTTTTTCTGAATATCTTTTGATTCTGCTCCTGCCTTTCCATTCCTTCTATGACCATCATTGCTCAGCTTCTTATTGTTATCTTTTGCTTCTACCCTCATAGGAACCTTCTAATTAATCTTTCTCCCTTTATATTTCTTCTCATCCCAAGCCATCCTATCTCACTGCTGCTATAAGAATCTCCCAAAAGAACACGATCCTAAAGATCATGGAAGACCCCTGCCCAAAAGCCACGACTCACCATTGCCTCCTTAATTAATTAAAACTACCTCAGTCTGACTCTCAAACACACCACATTATGGAGCCACTGTATCTTTATAGTCTCATCTCTCACTATCGTAGAGCCAAACTGAACTGTTCACTGTTTCTGGAACCCAGCTTCACCTTTCCAACCTTTGTGTTTTTTTGCTTTGATGACACTCCCTGCTTTACATATCTTTTTCACAACTTCCCACTCCACCTGTCCCGCACGTCTAGATCTGTCAAAAACCAACAAAGCCCATCCATAAACTCAACCTTACTTACTCATTTTTTTCATCCACAATTGTATGATCATTGGTTTATTAGAGTTTTTTAATTCGTCCAACAAACATTTATTGAATACCTACTCTTTGACAATCTGCCAGATGTTGTATTTAGTAGTTGCGCCAGCATTTACTATTTCAGTTAATGGATCAACCCTCATCCAATTATCTGATATGCAAATTTGAGCACTGTTTTTTTATTTCTCCAATAGTATTGGCTTTCTGAATGCTCTCAAATCTATCCTTATTCTTTGTCCCTATTGCCACTGTCTTAATCCAGGCTGTCATTAGCTCTCATCCACTTTAGGAACCTTCCATTTTGTCTTCTTACCTTCAGGTCCTACGCACTCCAGGTCGTCCATCATATTGCCATCAGAGCTAAATGAACCTTAACATGTCTCTCACCTTAAAAATAAAATCTTTGGGGTCCTGCCCGGTGGCGCACCGGTTAAGTGCACAAGTTCCACTTTGGTGGCTCAGGGTTCACTGGTTCGGATCCCAGGTGCGGACATGGCACCACTTGGTAAGCCATGCTATGGTAGGTGTCCCGTGTATAAAGTAGAGGAAGATGGCGACGGATGTTAGCTCAGGGCCAGTTTTCCTCAGCAAAAAGAGGAGGATTGGCAGCAGATATTAGTTCAGGGCTAATCTTCCTCAAAATAAAATAAAATAAAATCTTTAACAATAATTTATTACCTTTAGTAGTGACTCTGGGAGCCCATCTGAATCACTGTGGAGCTTCGATAACATGAAGAAGCCCAGGCTCCACTCTGGATATACTAACCCAAATCTCCAGTGATAAATCTGGGCGTAGGTATTTTTGAAAGCTCCACAAGTGATCCTGAAGCCCATTACTGGTTAAGACCATTGATCTAGAATGAAATCTAAATTCTCTAATGTGGTAAACAGTGTAGCCTCCAATATCTATTTCACTAACATCGTCTCCTACCACTCCTCCATTGGTCCTATGTTTCAACCAGACAGAACTTTTATCAAACGTTCCATCTTTTCAATACTTCCATTCCTCTGCTTGGAATACCTTCTCTGTTATCTCTCGAAATTCTTATTCACCTTTCAAAGCCACTCAAATACCAATTCTTCTATGAAGATTTTAAAGCTATCTCTACTCCATTTCCTACCCATCCCAATTTCCATTCTCAGTGGACAGTGCTAGTCACATGTTCATCTCTGCATCCAAGCTACCTTAGTACTTTCTACAGACCACATAAAAACCTAGCAGACTGTCGTTATTTGATTATATCCCACAGTGTTGGACTGTGAGTTCAGTAATCTTTTTCCCTAGTACCGAATACAATACAATCGTATGTATATATATATATAATTTTTTATAATATAATATACATTTTTTCTAATTTTTTATTGTGGTAAAATACACATAACTCAAAACTTACAATTTTAACCATTTTTAAATGTACAGTTCAGTGGTATTAAATACATTCATATCGATGTCCAACTGTCATCACCATCTATCTCCAAAACTCTTCTTGCAAAACTGAAACTCTATACTCCTTAAACAGTAACTTTTCATTCTCCCTTCTTCCAAGACTCTTGCAACCTCTATTCTACTTTCTCAATGAATTTGACTATTCTAGTACATCATATAAGTACCATGATACAGTATTTGTCTTTATGTGACTGGCTTGTTTCACTTAGCCTAGTGTTCTCAAGGTTTGTTCATGTTATAACATATGTCAGAATTTCCTTCCTTTTTAAGGCTGAATAACATTCCATTGTATGAATATACCCATTATTCTAATATATATTTTGAATTAATGATCTAAAGAACTATAGAAAATTACGTCTTTACTCGATATCCCAATAGAAAATATAGAAATTACTTCAGACTGACGTAGTCAGGAACTAATGGTTCTATTCTTCTTCCCAATAAAGGATTTAATATTGTATGTGTATTCCTGCTATGGAACTAATTATATTTAGCTTTTTATTGTTCTTTAGTATATGCTTGTCTTAAGTTGCTACTAGATTATATATTTGTAGAGAAAGACCAC